ATTTTTTATTGGTGCCAACGTTTCAACCAAAACATGCGGATCATCTTCAGGGCGTGGTTTGAGAACTGAGGGTGTTTAAGTAGTGATGGCAAAAGACTGCGTCCTGAATATTTATCACCCATGATATGTAGAACAGTCGGCTAGCTTCCTTCAGTATGTGGATATTGTTAAATTCTTAATGATACGAATAACACGTACAGTTTGAGTGAATAACACACATAATTAGTTTTAACCTAACGATAATTATGTGGATATGTAAAAACAAAAACCCCTGAAGTATTCCAGCAATCAAACGGTAGACCATTATAATTTAATTAAGACCTCCGCAAGGTTCCAGACAATCGGGGAAATATTCCCCCGGGGAAGGAGCTGGAGGGTGGAAGACGGTATCCCAGGGTTGCATCCCCAAATCCCCCCCCTACAATTAGTAGGCTTTTCACAAGCGGTGGTGCCACTTACAGCCCCCCCCCAGGAAATTGACTTCGTTATCTTAAGTGTTCCAGCGAGTGACAGTTTTCTCTTCGGATCCTTGTGTTAACAGCCGTTTTAAAACAGGTATACTTCCCGAGCAAGTCCTCAGCTGAGTCACTTCGTGTAAATTACGCAGTGGGCTTTTTCCGATCATTTCAACTTTAATTTAAAACTTATATGACAATATCAATCGAAGTTTAAACTTAAAAAAACCATCCTTATCATCTTTTTTCCCTCTAAGATAAAAGTAAAATATGAGAAATCGTTAATAATTCATTACAAATGAATGCATAATAACCATGAGGAAAATGATCATAAGCTTTATTTAAAACAAATAAAAACTATGACTTTCTATATTCCTCTCTCTATTCTTCTATCTCGTACCTAAATTGTAATTTAGTCACTGACCGATGTGCGAATTATTTCTAACGACCAACTAATATATATATATATATATATATATATATATATATATATATATATATATAGAATAGAATAGAAAATTAAACTTTATTCTGGGACTAAGTCCCTTTAGAATAACAATGATGAGTTAATACAAAGTAAAGTACTAATCTGCCAAAAACTAACTTCTAAAAATTTTAATATTATATACATTATTTAAAAAGTATTTAATCAGTAAAACATAAAAAATAAAATATATATATATATACAAATGAACATAAAATCTTCTCAAAATTACTTAATTGTGATGGGAAAAAAAAAAAAAAAAAAAACGAAATTACATATTTATGTATACATAACTACACAATAGGCTATCTAATAGAAAACTAACTTAATACAAAATGAAATAATATCTACAGTGGTTTATATAATAATATGCAGACACTAAGATAAAATAAAGTCTTACGATACTTGTGGTGTAACGGAAAAAAATAAATAAATAACTAAAAGGAACTATTTATACGTACATTCTCATATTGGCACACATAAAGACAAAGATATAAAATATGAACATATATACCCGAAAAAAAAAAAAAAAAAAAAAAATATATATATATATATATATATATATATATATATTTAATGTAATTAATTCAATGAGATGTCATAAGATATAAACAGTGTTAGATAGAATAATATTATAATTGTTTTTGTTTTTTGAAAAATTTGTTTTATTGACTTGCAGATAATACCCCATCTCCTGAGGTAAATAAATTAATATATCTTAATTAAGAATAATGAATAATTTTCCATATTGTATTTTATTATTTAGTTTGTTGGTATTAATATAATTTGAATATTTATCATCATTCATATAATTATTACTTGTAGACTTTATTTGAGTTATTTTTAAGTAAATGTTAGGAGGCCAAAATTGATAAAATATTAAGAGAGAAAAGCGAGAAGAAAATCTCGTATCCTGGTGCTAACGCTTAAGATTCTGGAATTATGAAAATAGAGAACTGTAAGCAATAATAGTAGAGTGATTATTTTAAAATGAAAAAGTCTAAAAATGGCAGTAATGCAGATAGAATGATTGAAAATAAAGAGTCAAAAACAATAGTGGATATTATCTAATAAATTATATTTTCGACTATAAGATAATTAATTATTGTATAAAACGATTTTTTATTAACTATTGATGTATTAATTAAAACCTAAACACACTACGTATTGGGATATGTTTTCATAAAATGAGTAAATCAGGTCAGAAACTTTGAAATCACAGAAAGCTTGTTTAAACTCTGTTATTACGTGTTTCGAAAGTATTATTTTTGCTTAACATCTCCCTGTTTATAAAGGTGATTTATTCAATATGGTTAAGAAAAATAAAATATTTTTAGCTTACTAAAATAACTTAAATTTATATTTCATACATACTATTATAGCTGATCTGTTTTTTTTTTCATTTGTTTTTTGAGAAATTTTAAAATCTGTCTTAATTAAGGACATTTGTAATCGTATTCAGAGAGTATATTTACAATCTATGTACAATAAATAAAAAGAGCAAAATAATATAACTAAAACTAAATGAACTTAGATTTATCGAAAACTTTAAGGAACATAACGTCAACAATCAGGCACATGAGCATATTTACTCCTCATAAAGATTTCGATCACATCCCCATCGCAAGCATTTAGTTTGCCTGATATACATACATATAATATGTAATATACATACAGAATAATATATTATCAGATTTGATACCAAAGATTCGCCTGTAGAAGTAAAAATAATTCGAAAAATGCATCGGAATATCTTAAAAAGATACTGGATGAAAGATTGCTTTTGGCCATAGCTTGAAAGCTATTGAGCAAAATAGTATCATTACACTCTCTCCCATGTATGTGTAATTTATACATTGTAGCCTTAATTCCTTTCCATGTTCGCTAATAGTGAACATTTAAGTCTATTTTCCTGCTATTTGTAGGCAAATAATACACTGTTACCCACAAGTAGCTTTGAGCTACGTCATTATTTATTTATGCCCCGACTCCAAGAGCTCCAACAGTAATAGCCTACTCCAATCAAAAGCATCCTTGATGACCGGACCGAATATGAGAACTAATAGCTCTACAATTACTGGGCCCTATTAGTGCGCTGCTTCTTGATGAAAATTGCCCTTCGGGTTGAGGCAGGAAATCGTTCCTGATTAGGGATCGATTGGTCGGGCACTGATCTGCTTGAATAGTTTATGTCGGTGGTCATTAATAGAAATAATGACCTGTGTTTGATCAAGGCTCAATTCCAAGTGTCGATGAAGGAACGGCATGACTCTGCGTCTAGATTGAATTTTTATTAATGTTTAATAACTTTTATAACGTATGGACTAGTTTTATCTCTAAAACGGAATGATTCGCATGCTTTGTATCAAGTAACCCACCCTATTTAGTAGAGCAGCACTACTTTTTATAAAGTATTGCATATTTCTTGACCAATTGCTCTGTAAGGAGATGAAGTTGTCTAAAATTTAAAACTGCCATTTATTTGGTTGTACCATTTTTTCGGATAACCGATCAGTGTATGGTCAAACCCTGAACTCAGTGCTGAGATCATTGATTAGCATGAGAAATCCATCAGGCCGTTTCTAAACTCATCGATGATAATGTGGAAAAGTTCCTAAACACAGCGCTGAGGAGTTCCTAAACTGAGCGCATTGACGAGCGTCAGAATCCATCAATCCATTAGCGCTAAGTTGAGGGATAATAATTATCCCTAGTAGTTATAGTTATAAATATTATTTTTAATCGATTCCGACATTCCGAGAACTTTTTTTCATGAACTGTTAGAACAATTAATTTAAAAATATTATTTCCTAAAACGTTCGTCAGAAACTTTGAAAATGGGACTTTTTATAAATATGCATGAAAATTTCAAAACCTAGTTTTGATGAATCCAAAACTTGAGTTGTTTAATCTATGGGCGAGATACTTTAATTTAATTTAATTTGTTTTATTATTATTATATGATACTGACAACTGTATAAAAAAATATACATCTAGTAAATTCGTGCATGGATATAAAGATATGAAACACATGTTGAGAAACTACCCATTGGTAGAACTCTAATAATATGTCTAAATTAGGAGATCACGGGGCCATCTTCTTTTCAGAGGCCTCGAAGGTTTATCAGGAATTGAATAGGAAGCAAGGTTAGAAACAAGAGAGTAGGGATGGTTATGAAGTTTATTATGGAAGGATAGACATCTGGATTGGGACAAATCTGATACATAAGGAAGGTCATTGTGAATGATTTTATTTGTAACAAAGTAAAGAGCATAGAGGATTTTGGATTGTAAGGATTGGATACGAGAGGAATTTGAAGGTTTGGTGGAGCCCCATAGCTCAACTCCGTAAGTCCAAATAGGCCTTATTATAGTCATGTATATGAGTCTTTTGTAATTAATTGGAAGGTTACAGCGTTTGTCTAGTAAGTGTTGAAGTAGTCGGAAACTTGGAGCGGTTTTTTGTCGTTTCAGCCTGGAATGAGGATTCCAAGTTAGGCGTTTGTCCAGGTGGAGTCCTAGGTAAAGGATTTGTTCAACAGCAACAAGTGAGATGTTGTCAAAGGATGTTGAAGGACAGGAAGTCATTGGTTTACGATGATACTTTAAAATTTAAAAAGACTTGACTCCAACTTTCGAATATTTGACAAGTAATAACTTCGTTCAATTAAATTTATTAATATTTATTTGTTATTTAATTAATTTATTTCATTTCTACCTCTGAGTGTCATGGGCGTATTGATCCTAAATTATATACTCTATAGTAGAAATCTGTTTATTAATATTATAGTTGTCCTTATTTTAAAGATGTATGTTGAATGATAGCTTGATTTGTGTAGAATTTTATTCTTTTTTAACGCACGTATCTACTGGCTTTGTGTTGTTTTCATTAATCTTTGCATGTGCAATTTTTCTTAACGCTTTCTGCAATCTTTGCTTCGCTCTAGCTTTTCATATACATACTTAACTATTTAAACATATCGCTATAAATTACATAATGCTTTATATAGTCATATGTTATACAACACATCTAACTATTATTTCATTTTTTTCTTTCTCAGGAAATGACTCGGCCAAGGAAACCACTGGTTAGGGAAGTAAACCCTCATCTTATCTGTGTCCTTTGTAGCGGTTACTTTATCGAAGCCACGACCATCGTCGAATGCCTGCATTCTTGTGAGTATTCATTTAAAAACATTTATTTCTTATATTATAATTAAATTTTAATACCACTAATATTTGTTGGTAACCCCTGTTCATGTTACCACACACCTAACCATTATTACAAAATCATTCTTGCATTGTATTTCTTTACCATCATATTTTCCATTCCTCAATTTTTTTTATTATTATTTTTTTTTAATATCTAATTTGATGGCGGTTAGGTAAGGTTTATTATGTGAAAAAACTTCATGTTATTAAAAAAAAAAAATTAATATTTTTTTCTTTTTTATTTCGTATTTTTGCTTGTACGTGTATGGTATAAATTTAATATATTAGGTATGGCAATAGATATTGCCTATTGCTATATATATATATATATACCTACTGCTCTTTTTTGTGGAACAATCTATTTTTATTAATTTAAAAAATATATTAATGTCCTTATATGTTTTCCATCGCTTTTAAGAATTTATATTTTTTCAGAGAAAAATATTTATTAACATCATGTTTATACGAGTGACATTCCTCTGAAAATGAAAATATAATTTGCAGCCCTCGAAAATTTAGAATTAAATCGTAAAATACTATCAATAAATACAGTGTGATATAAATTGCTAGAAAAAAAAAATCAGTGCAGTGGAGTGAGAATTCCATTCTAGCTTTTATTAGATATCTCTGAAGAATTACAACAGGAAAGATGTATGACAAGGAAAGTTCTTATTTATTAAACTATTGTCAGGGTCTATGTTTATCCCGTAACAGTGAGACGTCAGCACTGACAAAGGATTTGCAAACCATTTCAGAATATAATAATACTTGCAATAAATAGTAAAATATTTGATTCTCGAACCATTTACTTAGAAATAAATGTAGTCTCTAATCCAATTGAAGTGTGGGCAATATCTGGGGTATTATGATTTTTGATGTCACTCTTTACAAAATATAATAAATACTAAATGCTAATTATAAATGCATTAAAGTGGAAGAATAATTGGATTGAAATCATATAAAATTGTATTGTAGAAATTACAGGTACATCCCAAGTATATAAAAAAATAAAGGTTTGAGATAATGAAATTAAGAAAAAAATATCTGTTATGAGATATTGATGAAACGGCATTTACTATTAATTGATATAGTCTTAATTTACTAGAAGAATTAAAAAACGATAATATACCTGAATGTAAAAACGAACAGAAGACGTTGAAATGACTTCCATTTCAGATGTACATATTTTTAACCAAACCTATTTTAATAATATAGAATAGCCAGTTTCACCGAAAATAAAAAATGAATTTAAAAAAAAATTAAAATAATAAAACCAATAATAGGAATATATTGCATCACGAAATACTACGATCCGATGAACGATTGACGACAAAATGTTTAGTTACAAAAATAATCATGACCACTGATTTTTTTTTTTTTTTATCAAACGTTACAAACATAAAATGACTAATTGGAAATAAATCAGTTAAAACGGCTAACGAATCAAAATTTATTGCGTCCATAATTAATATTTTAATTGTGCTCTTCACAAACGATTAAAACATTGTTATTATAATGCAAATAAATTGTATTTGTACCAGTGAAAAATTCTTCTATCGATTCAAATTTATTTATTAATTATTACATTTTTCCTAAATTTTACAGTTGTGTCGTTGTTTCACCTTATGAGAGATATAAAAGGATTCGTGCTATTTGTGTTTTTAATCGATAAATAAGATTGCAATTAACAAAAACCTCCTTAAGAATTTAGATCAATCAAAAATTTACTTGGTGACTCTTTGGAATAAACCGGAGATATTCTCATACCACGCTTATTCTATACTAACTTATCTATACTAGAGACCTCAGCCGGTATAAGCATTTATAGCCTTTTTATTCCCTGGAGGGATGGGACGAAGTAAGATATTTTTCAAACTATCAGAGAGAGAGAGGTGAAAGATACAGGAGACCAAAGAGCAGAATACATAATAAATGAGCAGGTGACTCTTCAATAACTCACCACTCGGCTCTTCAATAAGTGACTCCCTTCCCTCATACTTTATTAACTCGCCACTCCCCCTTGTTTTTCACTCCGGCTTCTCTTTATTACATATTCCTTGTTTTCTTTACCTTCTTCATGCCACTTTATCCCATCTCCCCCCCTTTCCGTGCATTCTTTCTTATGGAATATTCAGTCTAGGAGTTTAGCATCTTTTTTTCGGCTCATCAACCGGGAATGGGAAATGGTCACGGCACGTATTTTCTAGCTTGTTTTTATCTATGTTGCAGTAAATATTTTATAAATTACAAGGTCTGATACAACACCATATCATGTGTTTTTCATATATTGACAACTCTATATATGTTACATAGTTGTGTTAAATGGATTATTGAAAAAAAAAAGTAAAATAACTGTCGATTATATTATACTATAATAATATTATCTTGTTTCCAAGATGAAATTTTCTAATACGCTCACATTGTAGGCGTTCATCAGGTATAAGTTAAACAGTGAATATTTAAGAATAAAACTAGATGTAAAAAAGACAACAGAAATGAATACAGTGTATTTAATAGAGTAAGGTGTTAAAATAAGGAATCATTTCACAAAAGAGTCCTACGTATAAAAATAATATGCCCAAAATTGTGTAGTTATAAATCAGAAATAAAAGAAGCAATTTTAAAAAAATGAAAACTTAAAGTGAAACTGTGAAAAAAAGAAGAAGAAAATCATTAGATAGAAAAATACACTAATCATAATAACCTAATATCCTTATTAAATTTAAGTTCCATTGTAAATAATTATTAATCAAGAGAATTTAATTGGATATATTTACAGTTTTTATTTCATTAATATTTGATCTCTTCTTATGAATAAACGTAACTACAAAAAAATTTAAACATAAAATGAAATATTTACAACATTAAGAGGTAGATAAAAAATAACAGAACTCTTGGAAATTTTTCTCATAAAATTGTTATCTATATAATGCGTATGATGTTCACCCTTAACATAATTAAAGTAGGTAAATATACATAATAAAACGCGCTATTAGCGCACTGTAAATATAAAGTTTATAAGCTTTTTATCAAGAAACTTGCCAAGTTATAAAAAGTGTTAGGCGTGCTGAGCCCCCGTCGGTCTGTGCAAAGAGCTATCGATTCGACCTCCTTCATATTACGCAGCCCCAAGACTCCGCTTTGATTTTCATCTCACATTTTTTATTCATCAATTGCATTTATATACTAATATAATGCTTAATAAACATTCCCTTTATATCCTATATTAATAAGTAACAAATAAATAAATTATACAAAAAAAAAAGACAACTTTTATTGTTTTTAATTAGTTGATGCAGTTTCTTTCCTTTTTTTTTTGTAGACCTCCAAGCTCTTAATTAAACTAATCAGTGAATACAGTACGTAAAATAAATTACCTAAAATATCATACGAAACATTTAATTGTGAACTGTTACTAATATGTTCCAGAAAGAAAGTCTTTCTTTATATGACATTTAAATTAATAAAACATATTAAATAATAACAAACGTATAATTTCTTTCGAGATTGAGCTAATAAATAGATTACACATTTTGACGACATTTCAGATTTTATAGTTTTCATGTTTTCAAAATTAATTTTTCAACACCAAAATGGCTGACAAATAGAACACACATTAAATATTTAGGTATTGTTAATTAAGTAATTTATTTTATTAACTCATACTAAAAAACTTCAATAAAATAAAATACAAAAATATTCTTCACTAATATATTGTTGATATATTTATGTGAATTTGTTCAAACAAAATCTTTAGAATAATCTCTCTCTATTATAATTTACGATTAATTTACTACTCCAGGATGTGCTGTATAATTTTCAAAAATTGTCAAAATGTTGTCCGCGACATTGAAGGATATTTTATGAGACAGGGAATATTCGTCATTCTCTTTCAATATTTAATGAAAACGAATTATTACAGTACAATATAAAAATTAGTAATTGCCGCCAATGACCCTCTAGGGCAGAGACGAAAAAAAAAAAATCATTCGAAAAATTGTACAATTTATAATATATTTTCTTTAAATTTAATTTATCTATAATATCTCAATGGTTAAATTGTGTTCAAATTGTTAGTCATTTAAGTGTTACAATTTCGAAAATTATTGTACAAAAAAATTGTTTCTAAATCTATTTTTTTTTTTTAATGTAGAGGATTATTAAAAGCCATAACCTCAAATATCATAAGTATTTAACAGTCGAAAATTTATAATTAAATTAGTTATGGTGTTGTTTGGTTTTTGTAGAATTAAAAAAAAAAAAAATATACTGAGCAATTAAGATGAGGTAAGGAAGATTAGTTTAATGAGGCGTTATCCATAAATGATCAGATATATATATATATATATATATATATATATATATATATATATATATATATATATATATATATATAACAGAAAGTATATATATATTAATGAAATTTACAACTATATCAAACGGTAAATACAACAAGTAAATATGAAACAAGTAACATGACATGTACAACATGAAGAGAAACTACCCATTGGTAGCACTCCAATAAAAGTATATTTAATATTATTCTTTCATTTTATCTAATAATCTAAAATAAACAACACAAAAATCTAAAATAGTATTGTAATATTATAGCTAAATTAATTTCTCGTATCACGATTAGTGTTGCCCAAATGCGTGACCAAGACGAGTCTTGGTCTTTCTCAAGAGTCTCGCAACAGTCTTGCACTTGCTTATTAGCTTATTATTATAGAGATATTACTGTAGTTTTTTGGATAGGAGAAACCTAACTAAGCTCGAATAAAAAATTAGAAGAGTTAAATGCAAAGGTATTGGATTATAATTATTTGCAAAGAATTGGTTATACCAATTCTTTGCATATAGTAACTAAATTTTTCAAGTATTAGTAACTATTTTTCCTTGATTCTGCTTAAAAACAATCGATTAATTTTACTAGTCTTGGTCTTGCAACATACAGGCAGCCTTGGTCTTGGTCTTGCAAAGTGGAAGACCAAGACCGATTTTGGGCAACATTAATCACGATTATAATTTTTTTTAGTAATATTATTTATTTGTGAACTGCTCATCCACTCGAAATTAACAGTGGAGGGGCGAGCCTCTAAAAATATATATGGTTAATATAACCCTTGGTTATCTGGCAACTTGTAGGCCTTTTAGGGGTGCTATTCTCGGCCCCCTCACTAGTAATTTACCAGGCTAAGGCGGACTTAAAAATAGAAAATTCAGAGTTCGTAAACAGCAGGGTATTGCTGGCTACAGTCTATCCTAATGAAACAATGTCACCAAAGAGATTACAATTTTATTCCAATACTTAATAATAAAAATTAATCAACATAACTAGAGCTAGAGTGATTTTGTAATAAAAAAATTATTTGCTTGATTTGTTTAACTGATATGTTATTAAAATTAAATTTTTTTTTTTTTCAGTTTGCCGTTCTTGTCTACTGAAGTATCTCGAGAACAATAAGTTCTGTCCCATCTGCGATGTGCAACTTCACAAAAACAACCCCATGCTTAGTGTCAGGTGAGTTTAAATTATTATTTTGTTTTTAATATTTATTTATTGAATAATATAACATTCTGTCACTTGAACAATGGTTATATGATCACACTCACACTATTTATACATAAAAATATGTATATAATAAACAGAAGCAAAATAATAACTAAAGCATATACAATAAATAAAATAAAATAACTTAAAGATAAGACTTTTTTTTTAATTATGCTTAGAATTCATATATAATATAGTATGTTTTGTAATTAAAGCAATTATAGCTTTATTATATTATATTAGTGTAGAATATTTTTTAATAGTTAGATTTGCCCTTGTTACAATAATAATAAAATAACTAGAGCGAGAATAATGAATTTAAAACCCCGTTTTATTCCAAAAATTCATTAAGTAATATTTTATAATATTAAACTTCGATGAATTTTCTCTCTGTAAAAATAAAACTATTGCGCACTTAAGATAATTATTTTTAATATACCACAGATTTTGTTGTTATTATTTAGGAGTTAGAGGCGTAAAACCCCATGATCATCAACCCCTGTCCAATCTTTATTTCAATAATCTCAACACTAAATTGTAAAGTTAAAAAAAAAACAAATTAACTACAGATTTTGTGTCATGTTTTGATGCAACTATTGCATCGATAAATTATGTAAAAATTCACAAATCTGTACTTTAAAAGTCTAGCTCCGTAAAAATGTAATTCCTGCATTTTTGTAAGAATTCGACAAAGGCATAAAGCTTATATATATTTTTTACACACAATAAAATTCACATATCGGTAAACAATGAAGTATGGTCTAATGTATTTTTAATTTGATACATTTTTTTATCTTCATTCACAGGGTGATTAAAAATATGATGACCGAAAATTGTTTGTTTGTTTGGAAGGAAAAGGATCACGTCAATAAATATATACATTTCCAAAATCCTTCCCACCTTCTGAAAATTTTTTTAAAAGGTCCAAAGTTCTTTCAGATATAATTAAAATGATTTTTTCTTCTTTTTTGTTAAATAAGTAAACCGCTTGAAATTTCTAAAAATTTGAGTATTCAAGTTAATATAACTTTTTTTTAAATATCAATTTTGATTATTTTGCCCTCTCATTAGTTATTTGCAAACATTTTTTTTTTTTTTTTTTTGGTCTGTGCAACCTTCTTTCCTTTTCTGAAAGAATATAACATATACCTAATAGGGTAACTCGAGATATTTTTTTATTTTTATTAAATCCAAAATTCATGGTAGCTAAGAAAAAATGTGATTATCGGTATAAACAAAATATATTCTTAATGCATAATGCTAAACATTGTAAAGAAATATTGGTGAACAGTATAATTATCCCGATTTTTACTCGTTTAGTAAAATATAGCTTTTTCGAATTAGTTTGTGTAAAATTATAGTAGTTATAGTTTTTAGGAATGTGTTAGAATTAATTGTGTTTAAGCTGTTAAGGGCACTCCTTTTTTCATTTTTTTTATTATTAATTTATTTACTATATCTTAAAATATATTATATATGTATCTGCCTGTTACAGATGCGACCCTATCCTGCAACAGCTTGTGTACAAGCTGGTACCTGGGCTGTATGCTAAGGAGATGGCTCGAAGACGGAAGTACTACTCCGAGCTTGGTGGTCCTAGCTCGGATTCGGAGAATGTGGAGTATCCAATCGCCGATACCTACTTCTCCCCCAGCGATTCCATCAGTCTTTCTCTAGAGTTCGTCAGTCATGTGTAAGTTACAATATTTGTTTTATTGTTATTATTATTTTATTAGTAACGTAACACTAGGTTTCTATTGGACCTGAAAAACTGGAGTCTTCCAGGAGAAAAAAGTCTGGGATTTTTTCGAAACCTCGAAAAGTCAAAAACTTTTATTATTTTATTCTATTTTTTCAGTAATTATTTTATTTTTTCTAAATTTAATGTTTAAACTATTATGAACCTGTTTCTATTCCAATACTATTATATGCAATTAATTGTTTCTTTATATTTGTATCCCAAAAAATTTAAAAAAGTAAGCATAATTGCGTCTTGACGATGTTTCTATTACTTTTAGTGTCAAAGAGACTTTGATATTTTAATTTGTACGCCAAAAAACGCTATGAAATTCTTTTTAGATTTATTACAAACTTATATTTCATTAAACAATAATGGTAATACAGTTTTAATATTGCCCACATTCCGATGAATGCCAAAAGTAATCGAGTATTGACGATCCTGTTGTTTACATCTGACAGAGCTGCTGGGCTGACATACGTTTAGGTTATGTAATATTCCTGCCCCTCTAATACGTAAAATAATAAAAGTGTGTTACAAGGAAAACACCTTCAGCTAAAAACTACGTCGAAATAACTCGTTTTCCTCCGAAACGAAAAGCTTAAATACGTAATTAGAATTAAATTTAAATTACTCATCTACAATCATAATTCGGGGATGGGTAGAATCCGCCTTTTTAGGACACATTTGGGTATTTATCGGAAATATAGGATTTGATCAGATTAGTTATTGTTACTTATAAATTAGGTTTATTTATACTTTGGTTATATAAATATTTAATTAGACTTTTGTTTCACAGGCCTAAGGAAGAAGAATCAAGTAATGAAAGTGATACTGAAAACAATGGAGACAAACAGGTTGGTTTATATGACTTTTTTTAAACAACTTACTTACAGTTACACAAAATGCTAATTTTTAACATGCTTAAAAATATAAATGTATTGGTCCATGTTTTGTCTACAAAACGGTACTTCGTAATAATCGTACTAAAATTTAAACATTTTTTTCCTTTAAATTTTAATTTAAAAATTCCTTGAAGCAAGAATTTCGTTTTTCAACATGTAATTACTTAAATTCAATCATACTTCTTTTTATGTTGGATTGTTATTATTAATTTTAAAATTTATTTGAAAAAAATATTTATTATAATTCGATGTTTTCCCGCAGGCGGTTCATCATAGAAGATATCTGCAATGCCCTGCTGCTGTTACCATGTCTCACCTAAAGAAGTTTCTGAGAATGAAGTACAACTTAGGCCACGACTATAATGTAAATATTATACTGTTCCTAAATATGTATATTTGTAGCTTAATTTATTTATGCCTCTACCCCGAAGGTACATTGGCTTGATAACCTATTTATTTATCTTTTTAACGTTTTTTTTTTTTTTTTTGTGTGTTTGCAGGTTGAAATACTATATTCAGGAGAAGTGCTGAATGATGAATTCTCCTTGATGGATGTGGCCTACACGTTTTCATGGAATAAGGTATATTTTATTTAGTTTTTATGTCGAAATGTTGATTGATGGAACACAAACATATTTATTTATATATTGTGAAGGTATTAATATTTGTTAATTATATATATTTTTTTTTCTGCAGGCTTCTCCGATGCGCTTTCAGTTTCGCATGTACCAAAAACCTAGTTCACCAACTATCGAGAAAATTGTTGAAAAAGAAGAATCCGCAGTTGAAATTCCGGAAACTATTGAAGAGTCCGTCGAAGAAGCAATGGATGAAAATGTAGAAGAGGTTGCTGAAGATTCTATTGATGGTATTGGAGATGATCAAAACGATGATCAAGAAGAAGCCGATATGGAGCTAGAAAAGTCTAAACAAGTTGACGAAGAAGAGGAAGATGAGGAAGATATAGCTCTCAATAAACGTCTCGAGGATGCTGTTGAAGAAGAAGCAATTGAAGAAATCGAAGAAGATGAATCTCCGCCTCAGCTATCTCCACCTCGAGAACCTGTAGTGCCAAAAGAACCAGAGCGACCGAACGGTCTCAAGAGACCTCCAGTTCTTGAAAGTCATTTATCAAAAGAACCAGAACCGAAAAAAGCCAAGAGAAGCCCGTCTCCAAAAGTGGAGCCGCTTAGATTCAAACACGATGATAAGCGTTTCTTAGAAGATATGATCGAAGAAGATACCGATGAAGATAGGCTTCACATATCTCCTTCGGAGGAGGAAAAGAGTCCAATACCTGTATTGGAGCCGGTTGTTGAGGAGAAGCCTAGATCCGAAGAAAGGAGAAGAGAAAGGAAGAAAAGCAAGAAAGGAAAACATCATCATCATCACAGGCATCATGACAGGAAGAGGTGTGACTCTCCTCCCGCAGCGACCATTGTTCATTCTCCTGAGAACGATATCATGAAACTTAAAGTGAAGCTAACAGCCATCAAAAACTGCAACAACATGGTGAAAGGTTACAGTGTCGTGGAGGGTGGCATTGATGATAAAAAGGAATCGAAGGAAAATGGGCATTCCACAAAAGCGGAAAGACAATTAGAGAAGCAGGAAAAAGTTAAAATGCAAAAAGAAGAGGAACCGCCTAAAAAACCAGAAGTGGTCACTTATAATAACAATAATAATAATAACAATAATAATAACAATCACAACAATAATAATAACAACAACAGCAACGGCCCTAATAATCATGAATTCAGCCGCAGATTAGAGATCAATAAAGAAAAACTATTACAGATGAGAAATATACGGAAATCTGTTCCAAAACAAAACGGAACAATGAAGGTGGAGCCTTTGAAAATGCCTCCATCGTCTATAACCGTCAGCAAAATTACTGCAGCCGAGAAGCGGCAAATGGAGCAGCAAAAGCTGCTGATGAACCGCAACAACAGCAACGGGTTGGACCCCAAGAGACCCTCGCTGGAGATCATGTTGGTGAACGCCCCGAGGAAGGCCGAGGTACCAGAGGTGAAGCCGGAGGTGAAGAAAGTGATGAGGCCCACGCCACCATCGATCCCACTGTCCCGGCTGCCCAAGGGGACCCTGCCCAAGTCCTCGCCGCCGCCCCTCCGTGCCGTCAAGCCCGCGCACGAGGAGGCCCTCGACCTCTCCGGCAAGTCCTCCAGGAAGTCCCCTGAAGTGGTTCCAGAGCCGCCCACCCTCAAGATACCCATGCTCGGCAAGCCTCCGATGGTCGGCTACGGCTCCGCGAGGCCATGTAAGCCCAACCAGACCGTACGGCAGATCCCTAATCCTTCGGCTCTCCTGTACAGGCAGCACTGTCTCAATGGACGAGGTCTTCCTCCTCCGGTCGTGCCGCTGTCATCCCTCAGGCAGATGGAGTCCATGACCAAGAAAATTGAGAAGGTTGCCGCTGGGCTTTCCGTCAAGGCAGCTGCAAGTTATGCTGCCAAATAGTGGTGCAGTTACAGTAGATGTTAAATTAGTACGTATTGAACTAGTCCCAATTCTTTAAAGTACAAAATTTTCACTGCTATAGAATACATTGTAACTCCGTTTTAAAGACTGTAAATATTGTATATAAGAATTGAACTTGTTACGTGTACTTATAAAGCTTGAACGTCTACCAGAGTCACTTTTCTTTTCCTCTGTAGGCCTATATTATAAGTAAGTAATGTCGGCTTAAACAATTTAGGATTTTAATTAAATATATATATATATCGAATATATATGTATGTTTTGTAAATAAACAAATTATTGAATAGAAAATATATATTGTTAATGAATTAGTTAAAGAAAATTGTGAATTTATCTTATAAATATGTATGTAATGTGAAGATTCCGGTTAGGTTTATGGTTTTGTTGTATCATCTTTGAATGAGACTGAACGATCGCTACTGATTGAGATGATTTTTTTAAATTTCTTTGTTCTCTTTTTTTATTATTTAATCATTTAAGTTATTATGTTACTGTTTTTCAGCTGTTGGTTTACTACATTGATGCAATGGTTATTGTGTTCCTCTTAATAAAAAAAAATTAAAAAAAAAAAAGATCTCATTTTGAACTTAAACTGATTAATTCAATATCCCTAAGATGGATGATAGATATGCATTTCTTTGTTTTGTAGTATGATACATGTAGTCTTGTTTATGTGTTTGTTATTTATGCATATGTTTATATTTTCTGTTGAGTTAAATGTATTTTTGTTCCTCTTGTAAATCCTTATGTACTATTTATCAGGCGTATATATAAGCGTTATGTATATTATTTTTAATCAATGAATTTTATTTTATTTCCTGTATGGAATAATTTCTATGATCTATAAATTTTAAATTTCAAAATGAATAATAAACACAAAAATGCAAACGATGTCCTAAAAAAAATACGAACCCACTTCTAATGTAATTTCAAAGGTATTATTTAATTATGTTAATTTATTATATCAGCACATCAACATTGTATGGAATTATTATATTTTAAGTTATGTTGGTAGAAAAATTCATATTATATCCCAAATAAAAATATGTTTTTTTTTAGATTATTTGTTATGTTGTAATCTTTACCTACCCCATCCTTAAAACTATATTGAGAAATTACTTTCTTTTTATTTTTTAAATCGAACATGAATACTAAAATAAGTGGTGTGAAGATAAATTTATTTCAAAAACCGATTTTTTTTTTTCAAGAAATGTAATGACACTCAAATTTCTTAAATATTATTTTAAAAAATTTAATCATTGTCAACGATGATTAGAGTTCACTTTGGAAATAAACAACTCATATATATATATATATATATATATATATATATCACATTTCTTTATTGAGCAATATTATATTCTGTCGGAATTAAGGACACAAGTAATAGTGATAGAGTTCACAGTGATAGATCAATTCACATTATATGTACAATAAATAAAAATAAATTTAACTACGAAATAATAATACTAAAATTAAATGTATAAAAACAAAAAAAAGTCATAAAAAATCAAAATAAATAACACCTAATGTCTTGTAACGAACTAAAAAATATTGAAGAGTTTAAAAATGGCAGAAAATGAAGTGATGTGCTTCGCTTTCAAAATTATGAAGAAGAAGAAATATTTTTAACGGAAGTGCGCAGAGCTCCATCGTACAGTATTCAGAGAACAGCATTGTTATTAATTTGTTGTGTAAAAATTCTAAAAATCAAACCAACAATTATCAAAAATGGACATGACAGTTTCTCACAAACGGAGTTTATGGATATTTTTTCAAACGTGTCATTTACCGATCAATAAATGAATTAGAAATTTTGGAAATAAAATAAGTAAACATAAAAAATCCATTCACATTTGCTGTGTGTATTTCTGTCATAAAAATATTATTGTTAACAAAATTAATTAAGAAAAGAAAAACGATTTGATAGTTGAATTGATCTTAAAAAATTCTTGAGTTTATCAGAAGTACTCTATCACTAAGTAAATCAAACTCCTGATGGAAGAAGCTATCATATTGAAAATGACACACAGAGAGACTAATTGAAAAATATATAGACATCTAGATTTTTTTTTTTCATTTTATGAAAATTTATTTATTTTAAACCTATCAAGGTCCATGCCTTGTTCTCAATATTATTTTATTATAATTAAAAATACAAGAAAATAGATCACAAAAATCAGAAATTTCAAAAGTAACTTAATCTACAAAGTAATAGTAATTTTGGGTACCTATCTAAGTAGTTTAGTGTATAAAATTCAAATGATTGGAACGATTTCATTCAAAAAGTGTTGTCTAAATTATGTTATATTATTGTACAATTTAAGTTCTTCTCTTGTTGCACAATATTGCAAAAGTAATAAGATACGCAATATTTAATCAAAATATCCCGTTCAAGCTGTTGAAAAAATAAAAGGTGTCTTAGATCTAGATTTGAGAATATTACATAATTCAAATAATTATTTTACGATTTATATATTTATTTTCTTTCTTGTTACATTTTCAAGAACATGTTTTCTACACGTTATTTAGTTTAATTATAATGTAAAATAGACTATGACACACACACATTTCGATAGAATTCATGAATAGTTGTAAACTGAAACAGGTGATGGTCAAGGATGTATAATCCAATTTACGAACAATTTTGAAAACGTTTCTTTAATATCAAAAATATTTACAGCTTAGGTGTAAGATTTAAAAAAAAAAATCATGAGACATCAATAAAAGTTGTTATGATTAGGATAAAACATTATAATTGTCATTAATACTCTACCTTATAATAAATATTTAGTGATTAACAAATATTTAGCATTTATTTGGAGAATATCGATTCTTAATTATTCATTTATTCACTTAATTAAAAACCACATCTGGCTAAAAATTACATTATTCCAAATTTAATAATATATAAAATATCTTCAGTGAAAGTATATTCAAACAAATAAAAAAGTAACACCGTTTTGAAAAAATCAAAAATTATTTAAATGAAAAGAAAACAGAAATCTGGTAAGATAAAAAACAAATGTTATAAGCACTATGGGTTGATTCTTAAAATTAAAACTCAAACAATTTCAACAACCATTCACCTCAGTCAAAATTTGATTCATAATATTTATTTCATTGTACAACGTAACTTTTATATATATATATATATATATATATATATATATATATCCATCGACATGCTTACCGTTTAGGGTCAATTCCTACCTTGATCCGTTCACAGACCGAATGTAATTATTACCGAAATTTTATAATTTACCGAAATGGTCTAATAAAATTTATAAAGGAAATTATATCTCCTTAATCAATACACTTAACTATATCTATAAAATTGAGTCGCAATATACATTCCACCAAAAAATACAGTAAATATTCAATAAGGAAATGCGCACTGAATCTACGTGCTGCTTCGATGTTTATTCCTTTCATAAACAATGCTAATAGGTTCTCATAGTTGTTCTGCTCTAATGAATTGTTTATTTGGCTTGCTTGTTCATCTGGCGTAGTGGTTTAAATAACTGACAACTATTTGATTAAAGAAACAACTCCTTAATATTTAAATACGCAATTATTTAGTATAGTAAAGCTTAAAAACTGACAAGTTAATAAAAAATTGTGACGTGTTTTATGATGACGTGAATTAAATACGTTTTACTCAAATGTTGAACAATAATATTAACCAAACTAATTTATGAATGCTAATTAAGTTTTGGAATAAACCTAATAGCTATATTAAAAGCGTTGTGCATATATATATATATATATATATATATATATATATATATATATATATATATATATATATATATATATATATATATATATATACATATATATACATATATATTTGAATATATGAGTATTTTCACTTAATTTTAGCAAAAGAAAATCATTTATTACGTTTCTCTTACCAAAAGTAACAGCACTTAGGATTTGGACGTTATCAAATGAACAAAATAAAAATAACATTTACGAAAATATAATGCAAATGATAAAGGAAAACATGAACGAATGACTTGATAAATACATTTTATTGCATTAAAATAAAATATGAATTGTTTGGTATAGGTTCGGTACTTTCCACGGTAATTAAAAAAAAACACAAACATTCAGAAAATTACAGTTTACTTTAAAATTTGATGAACGCAGTTTCGGTTATCACAACAATATTGAAGTACTAACTTCAAATTAGCCAAACTCGTAATGGCCCAGTCAAAGCAGCATAAAAAAATGGGTCCCGCTTGCAAAAAGTCGGGTAATTCAAATTTCTTTTTTATATTATTAGGTATGTAATGGACATAAAAAAACTCAAGTTTTCGCCTTTGAAAGCCTTATGGGTTTGCTGAATTGCTCCAAATTTCGACATTTTTTTGGTTTACGCTAAATATCTGCTTTTTAAGCGACACGTAAAAAATGGTTGTAATTTTTAAATAGATTAAAATTATTTAACATTTTTGTACGTAACATAACAGGAAGTGAACTATCGAGCTTTCAAAATGGGTAAAGTTTTGAAAATTAGCGAAATACATACATAATGTTTGTTTTTAATTAATTATCTGTTTTATGGGTGACGTCGCTCCAATTTTTAAATTAAATATTAAAGCACACACAATTTGCTATAGCTTTTAAACAAAACATATTTCTCTAAACTTAAAAAATATACATATTGCTAAAAAGAAATCAATTTTTTGAAATTTTAAAAAATCTTAGAATTTTATTTTAACTGTTTTCCACTTATTTTAATGAAATTGGTAATCAACAATTACTGTTTTTCTTGTTACTTTTAATTGAACTTTATTCTTACACATTTTTTAATAGTTAATATTATCTATGTCCTTTATTGAGACAGATTGTAATATTTATCAATAAAAAAAAAAATAAAAATAAAAAAATATCTAAATTACATACCTTTGTGCAGAGGAGCCCATCCCCTCCACCAAAAGGTCGATGGCGAAAGAATCTACCCCCTCCCCTCATTCCAAAATATTTTATCAGTCATCTTTCTTAAAAATAAAACAATCTAAGGCAGAATTAGAAAAATCGTAGATTGTATGCAATTACACTACCTGCGGCCTGTTCCATGTTTTCCCCTTGTCCCTCAGTCCGAAAATTCATAACCCCGTTGATTTTACCCCAGTAAAAAAAAAATCGATTTTTTGAATAAAAACTAAGGCAAAATAGTTACAAATACTTCACAATATTAGTTATTATATGTAAATAATTTGTATAACCAATATACTTTTGCATTTAACTCCTCTAATTTTTCATTTGGGCATAGTTAGGTTTCTTCTATCTAAAAAATTGCAGTAATATCTCTCCAGTAATAAGCTAATAAGTAACTGCAAGACTGTTGCGAGACCAAGACTCGTCTGAGTCTCGTATTTGGGCAACACTACTCAACATCTCGATTTCTTTACAACAAATTGTTTTGGACATTTAAATTGTTGTATTGATATTTGATCGTTAATACAATAAAAAAAAATGTACTAAAAACGTCATTATATCACTCTAACTATGCCACAGGTGGATCTACGGGAGGATTGAGCATTCCGGCTGAAGCCCCCCAAAATGGTAAAATATAATCATGTTTAATAGAAAAAAATATTAAAAACTATCTCTTAAAGTATTATTGTTCGTGTAATTACATTTAATAGAACTTCAAGAATCACTTATACACTATTTCACATAGTTAGTTAATTTCTTTCATTAAAAAAAATTATCGTTATATATATGAAAAAAATGTTTTCTGGCTGAAGCTCCCAAATTTTAATTCTGGATCCGCTAGTGAACTATGCAATTTATGAGTACTAAATGGGAAAGGACTCTAGGCGCCTATACCTTTGTCACTTTTCCGCAAATAAAGTTTATTTTCTATGTAACTGCTTCAAATATTTTTAAAAGTAATCAATGTTTTAGAAAGAGAAATGTGCTATCCGAATGCTTTAATCACGGTGTTTTTCGATATTGTTGGACGTTTATTTAAAAACGATGTGATATATTTTCAAATTTATTCTTAACGACTTAAAAAAATTAATCTTTACTGGTTTTTTTT